ATATGCTTTTTGGGTGGGTACAGGGGATCAAACTCAGGACCTTGCGCTTGCAAGGCAGACAGCGGAACCACTGAGCTAAATCCCTGGCCCTGGAAAAGTATACTCTTGCCCTTAGCTCTTCCTTTTTCTCTCTGATTCCTGGCTGCCATGGAGTGAGACTTTCTTCCACTGTGCTTTTTTCTTTTGGCTTCCTGGCTGCTATGGGATGAGCATCTTTTCTCTGTGATCCCTTCTACTATGCTGCCCTGCCTTGGAGTCAACCAACCATGGACTGAATCCTCTAAAAACTGTGAGCTAAGATGAACCTGTCCTCCTTTGAGTTGTGGGTGTCAAGTACTTTGTCCCAGTGACAGGAAAGTGACTAATACAGATTTTGGTACCAGGAGTGTGTGTGTGGGGGTTCATTGCTATGACTGTACCTGATCATATGGTTTTAAGAAACCCTTTGGAACTCGTCTGTGGGAGGAATTTGGAAAAGTTTGGAGATGTGGGCTAGAGAAGACCTAAACTGCTGTAAGCAGATATTGATGGCAGATTCTGATCCAGAGCTAGAAAACCAGAATGCTGATAGGAATGTGGACAGCAAAGGCCAAAGTCAGGAGGTTTCAGATGGGAATGAGGATTCTATTGGAAACTGGACTAGACACCATGTGTGCTTCATTCTGGCAAAGAATTTGTCTACATTGTGTCCATGTCCTAAGACTTCATGTGATGCTGAATCTGGTGAACTAACTGATTTGGTGGAGGAAATTTGAAGGCAGCTCAATGTTTAGGCTGCAGCATAGGTACTGCTGGCTGCTTTTAGCCCAATCTACAGTGAGAAACAGAAGCAAAAAGAAGCAAAAAGCAGAGTTAAATGATTTGGGAAAACTTGCAGCTTGGTGAGAAAGGAAGCACCTATAAAGTTGGGCCCAGGGAAAATGTGACTGCTGAAAAAATTAGCATTAAAAAGAAGCTAAGTACTTTGCATCGGGACAGTAGGAAAGGTGGCTGGAAGGCATCTCAGAAATTGGCTAGGCCTCACCCTTCACAGACTCAAAGGTGCAAAAGTGTGAACCTTTCATTTAAGAAGAGAGCCTCTGAGCCCCATGCTTGAGAAGGACCACCTAAGGAACTGGTTCTATGGGATTCATTTCACTGTGCTCAGCCATCCAGACACTCAGAGGCCTCTGCTGCCTTGGTCTAAAGGAGGTCTGGTTACTGACAATGGTAGTGGCAGGCCTTGATGTTGTCCACATGATTCTGGTTTTACTGGCATGCAAAATGTAGGAGTTGTGAGGTCATGGAGAGATCCTTCCAGATTTGGAAGAAGGCCTGGGCAGCCAGGCAGTGAGTAAACCAGTGAGAGTACAGCTTAAAGTGCAGTGGAGACTCTGGAAAGTTGGAGATTCCAGGAATGTGGAACTTCTGAAGAAAGCCATAGGCAGTGAGCAGAGCTAGCCCAAGAAAGGGCATGTGGAATGCAACTAACAAGGCCATAGGAGCAGGGCTGTTCAATCCCTCTGGAGTTCACATCTTACCACCACCTGTCCCGGTGCTGGACATGGGGCTACTGGACTTAATGTTTGCCCTTCTGGGTTTTCATCTTGCTTTGGTCCTATTCCTTTCTATCTTCCTATTTCTCTCTTTTGGAATGGAAAGGTTTACCCTGAGACATTATATATGGGCAATGTTTAACTTCTTTGATTTCTGCAGGGGTTCTTAGCTGAGTTTGCCTTGAGTCTCAAAGGAGACTTTGGACTTCAGTTCGTGAGCAGTGCTGAAATTGTTAAGACTTTGGCAACTCTTAAAGATGGGCTAAATGTATTTTGCATAATGAAATGGACATGAATCTTTTGGGGGCTAAGGATAGAATGTTATGGTTTAGAACTAAAATGTCCCCTGAAAATCTCATGTATTCAGAAGTGGGGCTTTTAGAATGTGACTGGATCATGGGGGAGCTATACTCATCAGTGGATCAATATATTGATGAGTTCAGCAGCTGGATATACTGTTAGGAGGTGTGGCCTAAGTCACTGGGGGTATGACTGGAAGGGTGTGTTTTTGTCCCTGGCTCCTTCACCTTTCTGCTTCCTGGCTGCTATGGGGTGAGCATCTCTCTTCTGTGATCCCTTCCACCATGCTGCCCTGCCTTGGAGCCAACCAACCATAGACTGAATCTTCTAAAAACTGTGAACCAAAATAAACCTCTCCTCCTTTAAATTGTGGGTGTCAAGTATTTTGTCCCAGTGATAGGAAAGTGACTGAGACACCCACACCTAGCCAGGGAACAGGGACATTTGCATCCTGCAATAGTGATGAACGCCTCCACAGAGGCCATGAGGACAGCCTGCTTCCTGGGGTCACTGTTGTGTCTCTTAAACACTGCCTCCTCCCTATCTTGAATCCACAATGTCCCTGTCTCCAGCCCCCTGCAGGTGAAGGCACAGGCACTCTTGAGGAGACAACCTTGCTGGGAACTCTTGTCTGGCCCACTCTTCTTGGAGGGGGTGGGTGAAGACCGACACACTCACCATACTTGACCTGGGCGATATCCCCTACGACCAGGGCTGCCACAGGAACCTGGAGGAGCTGCCCATTCCGGATGACTGTGAACTTCTGCTCTTGCTCAATTCGACTCTGCAGGCCTCGAAACTGCTTCTCCTTGCTCCAGTCATTGAAGGCTGTGACCAGCACCACGCAGATGACAGACAGCAAGATGGCAGCCCCCTCGATCCAGCCGGCCTCTGCTTCACCCTCGTCTTCCGCCCCACCAGACACATTCCCGCAGGCTATGCCCAAGGATGGAAGAGAAGCACAAAAGAAGTCATGCCAGCCTGGGCAGGGCCATCTAGGAAGCTACCCTACTCTTCTTCCCGCCCAGACCCCTGGCCCGCACCTTCACTCTCTTCTCCAGGCGGTGCATAGAAGGAGAGGCCCAGGGACACAATGGCAGCCACCTCCAGGATGATGAGGGTCACGTCCTGCAGGGCCTCCCACACCAGCTGCAGGAAGGTCTTGGGTTGCTTGGGGGGGATGAAGTTCTGTCCGTAGATCTGCCTGCGCTTCTCCAAGTCATTGGTGTTGTCCGCCAGGCCTGCATGATGCCCCACAAAGGGGCAGAAGCACAGAAGGACAGGATGGGATAGGCCAGCCTGAGGCCTGGGCACCGCGAGCAGCCCTCTAGATGGTGCTCTGGGACAGGGAGGCGGCTGCCCAGGCCAGGAACAGTGCCCTTTCTTCAGACCCATGTGTGTGTGGGGGAGCATGAGGCCCTCTGGAACTATTGCAGGGGGCCTCAGCCTGGGAAGAGGGGCTGCTGGCCTCTTCCTGATGCCCAGATCAGAAACAGGCCCAGAGAGCCTTGGGGCCACAGTGATCCCAGTCTCTGGGGCCCCAACCTAGGCCATGTGCCTCCTTCATCTATCAGTCAATTCCTGAGCTGCCTCGTCCTACCTCCCAACTGTTACTGAGGGGGCGCTGGCAGGAACACAATAGTGCCCATCAAGGGGCAAGTGCAGAGGGGGCCCAGAAGGGGAGAAGACAGCAGCCAGTGACTCTGAGGAGTTACCAGTCAAGGGGGTGGGGGTGACAGCCTGGTTTCTCTGGGGCCAGAGAAGTACCAGAGCCCTCTCTGAAGGGTGACTCTTCAAGCCTGGGAAGATATCTCCAGCTCCACACACTTGGAGTCCCTGTCATTTGCAGGACCCTGCACAGTGACCCAGTGCTGGACAGGAATGTGCATCCAAAGCAACCACTGGGCTTGGTCACACCCCGGCCCCATGGTCTGCTGGTCCCCAAGATTTGCAGGGTTGCACAGCAGGGCCTGCACAGGGGCAAGGCCCAGGGGGACCAGGAGCCTTCAAAAGCACAGCTGCCAAGGACAGAGGGGTGGCCAATGGAGACAGGGAGTGAGGCCCACTTTCCAGAAGTTTCTCGTAGGAGCAGAGAGAGGGAGCATGATAGCTAGGGGGGTGCAGAGACACAAAACAGGGGTACCTCTAGTGTCATGTGAGGGGAAGAGGGGACCCAGGAGAGCAGGCAGGGGACCAGGACTGGCTGGGGAGAAGCAAAGCCAGTTCTGGTGGAGGTGGTGAGGACCTGGCCTGACATCTGTGTGGTGGGTGTCATCTCACTGTGTCCGGAACTGAGTCCTGGGCTGACTGTCAGGTGAGACCCCAGGGCCCACAGCTGCCTTGCTCCTAGCCCCTTACCCAGAGCCTGAGCTGGGGTCATGGTGAAGGGTAGGACAGGACGGGGCCCTGTGAGGCTGTGTATACACATGGTGTCTGCCCAGCTCAGTGGCTTTGGCCTCACCATGGTGGCCTCCCCATTTGATTCTGTCACCATCATTCCTGAGGACGAGTGCAGGGGTTAATGAGATTCCCAGGGGCCCATGCCAATGGCTCACTGTCCCAGGGTGCCAGCCAGGGGACAAGGAGGATGAAGCAGGAAGAACCAGAAGTTCCAGGGGAGACCCCCTTGGTCTCAAGCAGGCCAGGCTCCTGGACCCCGGCAGTGTCAGGGGGCTAAAGAGGCCAGGCCCACTGACTGGGCAAATTCCTGTGAGGCTCTGAGCCTCCAGGGATGCTCAGCCACTTCCCCTGGGGGTGGCAGGGGAGGTGACGTCACTCCCTGTCCTTGGACCCTGGGATTTCCAGCCCCTCCTCATGCTCTCACTATCTCCCCGGTCTGTGCCCCCAAGTGCCCAGCCACACTGGCACCTGGTGGTCGGATGGCCCTGAGTCACCAGCTGCTGTTACTCCTGCCACCTGCTGCGGGGGGCAGGGGTAAGGAGAAGGGCTTGGAGAACAAGGAGGTGCTGTGGGGCCCCTGCAGAGGGCCAGGGTGTGGCCTGGCCAGGGTGGAAGGACCGCAGCCACAGAATGTCCGATCTAAGCTAGGTGACAGCCTAGTTCTCCTCACACAGAAGGGCTGCAGCTGTCCCTGCCCTTCTCTTTCTGGCCCAGCTGGCAGCTCAGATTTCTGCCGGAGCCAAAGGCCTCTTTCTGAGGGCCACTGCTTCCCTGGGCTGGCTCCGGGGCCCGTCCATCACTCCAGACCCAGCTTCTCTCCTTCAGCGCTAGGAGGTATGAGAAATGGGGCCAGCACTGGGGAGGCCCCAGAACCCTGTGTCTTCAGGCACCCGGCCTAGGGCCCCTGAAAAGGATGAAAGCTCACTGTCACCTCCACAGAGCCCTGTTGCATGCCCAGATTGTCCCCAGGGGCAGTGTGGCCTTTGGGCCCCTTCCCTGGGAGCTTCCTCCCCGCCTCTGCACCTGCCTTGCTCTTGATTTGCCCTTGCTACGGTAGCAACACTTATCTGCATCATCGGCCCTTGTGGCCTTGGCCTTCCTGTGGGTGCGGGGGTCCCAACAGGTGCCACCACTGTCTCTGCAGCCGCTCCTGAGCACAGGCCTGCCCAGCAGGTCCTAGGGCGGCCTGAGGCCAGGGCACGGGGGCAGGGCTGGCTGGTTGGCATGGACACAGATGGGCCACCTGCCTGGAGCACAGGCCAGATGCCATCGGAATTGGATTAGGACCACATCGCATTGGCTCTTAGCTAATCTGCCCCTCCTTCCGAGGACTCCTGTGAAGAGCAGCCAGGAGGGGGGCGCAGGGCCCAAGTCCCCGGCGAGCCTCACGCTAAGGTTCTTGACCAGCAGAGCAGCTGTCTTCAGATGCACTCCGGAAGTTGTTGGGGTCTCCTCAGAGGCAGAGAGGACAGTGAGGTAATGGGCCATGACCAGGAGACAAAGCCCCTCTCCCAGTGCTCCACGAGCCTCCCCACTGTCCCTGAGCCCATACTGGGCACCCCCGTGCCTGCCTACCTTGCCAAGGCCTTGGCGTGGGGCCTGGGGGCAGCTTAGCTGGCCTTCCTACAGCTCAGCCACTGTGTCTAAGCAAGACTGAGTGGGAGGGCCTGGTGGCTGAGCCAGCAGGCCTGCCGAGGACTGTGTGGCCTGGCTGAGGGGACCCAGGGAGCACAAGTCACAGCTCCTGGCACCAGACAGCTCGAGTCCATGTAGCTCAGGAGGAGGGGCTGCCCCTCAGACCTTGAGGGCTCCCTCCAGGGCAACCCAGCTGCTCAGAAGGCAGCGAGGGGCTGGGCCACCTACCCAGGTACCTGCCCTTCTCCACGCCTGCCCCTTCCCGGGCACCAGGAGAGCTCCTGAGCTCTGCCTGGAATCGGCAGGTTCCCAGGGGCCTTGACATTTTAAATATTTAACAAGGCCTGACAGGCCAAGGGAAGAGCCGCCAGCTGAAGCCCATCTGCTTCCTTTGATCTGGAAGAGGCCAGAGCCCTTGTGGCTAAATGGCCCTCCACTCCAACCTCCTTGGGGGCCTCAGGCCCGGGGTGGGGGGCAAGGAGCAGGGAGGAACGAGAGCCTCTGGCTCAGAGCTGGGTCATCTGCCCCAACAGCATGGCTGCTCAAGGCTAGTGTGTACGGTGGGGTGGGTGGGACAGGGTGTCTGTGGGCATGACTATGCCACCGCACACTCAGGGACACCCAGGTGGCTGGCCAGGGAGGCCACTCCTCCCCTCTGAAGCCCAGGTGGGGTGAGGCCAGAGCAATGGGATTCTGATTGTACCCTAAAGTCCCTGGTGGGGGGGTGGCCAGGACATGTAGGCTGCAGGGGAGACGAGCAGGAGCTGATACATCCGAGGGATGGATTTAGAAACCAGAATGGGCAGGGCCTGGCGATGAATGATGGATGGGATAGGGGTGCCAGGGCGCAGGAGCAGCCTAGGGTGATGGCCAGGGACAGCAGCACTGGGTGGGCCAAGGTGCTGCTGCTGAGACGGGCAGCTGATGAAATCAATCAGCGCTGGCCGAGAGTGAGCCTGGCATCAGACTGGGATAGCCCGGGCAGGCTTGCCAGGCCAGTGCCAGCTGGGCCAGAAAGGGCTCCAGTTCCTGGAGGCTGGGGCTGGACCTGGACCTTGGGTGGTCCCTGCCTCACAGGGGATCCCGGTCACAAGGACTTGGGAAATGGTGGAGCTTTGCCCCACAGCCAAGCCCCCACCTCAGTCCTTCCAGAGGATGTCCGAGGCTGCCAGAGGCTCACGGGGCAGTGACAGTATGGGACAACTGTGAGTGCAGCCACTTCCAGTCTGGACCTCCTGTGTCCCATCTTGGCCACCCCTCTGCTCCCGGGGAAAGGTACCTGGCAACCCAAGTCCCAGAAGACTCAAGTCCTGCACCCCTTTTCCTCCACTGGTCTCACTTAGCTCAACACAGTGGCAAGTGTACAGAAAAGCCCCCAATAGGCAGACAAGGGCATCTTCCTCCTCATCAGTGGGAAGCTGTTTGGAGGGGTCATTTGGGGTCCTCATCTCCCCTTCCCCCTGGCTCTATAGGGTTGAGAAAAGCTAGTCAAGGAGGTGCAGACGAGGGGCTCAGGACTCGGTTACCAAAGGGACCACATGGGTCCCCTGCACAGAGTACCTTCCACAGAGGGCAAGAAGAAGCCCTCTGCAGGACCTACCCTCGGTGGGTGAAGTCTTCAGCCTCCGGCAGAGCCCGCCGATGTCCCCGTAGGCTTCCTGGATCTTTTGCAGTGCCTCGGCCCCTCGGAGCTCCATGAGGGCGCGCAGCTCTGCCAGCGTGCACCCGAAGCCACCTGCCTGGGGGGCATCCCGCTGCTGCTGCTGCTGCTTCGGGGGGAACTCGATGGAGCTGTTGGCCATGTCGCCCATCCTGCCTGTCGGGCTTTTACACAGGTGCAGCCTCGGCTCCGCTGCGGCGAAAGACAGGTGGCCAGCCACCTGCAGTCTTGGCGCCCAGTGAGGCGCAGGGGTAAGGGGCAGTGGCTAAGTGTGGACACCTGGAGAGAAGGGGGCGAAGCTGGAGGAGCGGTTGAGACAAAATTAAGGTCCCATCATCCAGAACATAATCCGTGTGAGCCATGACTGGCCAGGTACAAAATTCACCTCGCAGGGTGGGTCCCCCTTCTTGTCTACCATGAGCACCTGGAGGTGGGTGGGCTTTCCCAGGTAGGGAAGGAAGGCTGGGGACCCTTCTGCCACTAGCTCCCCCTCCCTGTTCATCTGGGGACCTGGCTACAATGAGGCGGTGACTGGGTTGACAAAGGCCAGCATCGCCTTTATGAATGGGGGCTGGGGAGGTCCCCCCTTGCCTGATTAAGGCGCGCCCAGTGTCGCTGGCATGCTCTAAATCCCGGATGGTCTGCTGGTGCTGCCTCTGGGCCACACGGCTTCAGGCCTGGGGTTGTGGCAGGCTCCAGGGAGCAGGCTGAGCCATGGACAGGGCTCCAGGTCAAGATTTAGTGCGCAGGGTGTTCCTGTGGCCCTGGGAGCACCTGGGAGCCAGGGACAGGAAAGGAGGAGGCCAAGGGAGGGAGGGAGGAGAGAGAGAGGAGTGGGTAAAGGGAGTGAACAAGGAAGAGATCAAGAAAGGGCACACAGGGGAAAGCCACAAGCGGCCACAGGTCACCGGTGACTCTGCCAACACTGTCCCCCAGCACAATGCCACCCGTACCTTCCACATCCTCTTTCCTCCTCAAGACAATGTAGGAGCTGAGCTGCCAGGGTGCATGGCCTTCCCCCTTTTCAGAGAATGATGAAGTCACAACCCTTTCACCGTTCCTCCCCACCAGTGTCCTGGCCCCACCTCAGGGCTCCCTTCTGCTGCCAGACTGCAGTCTCTGTGCACCTGGCCTTCGCTGTCACATCAGCCAGGGGTCAGCCGGGCACTGTGGCTCGGTTGGGCCTTTGGGGGAGCTCCTGGCTCAGAATGGCCCTCTTAGAAGTAGAACGTAGCCATCCATCTGGGTTTCAGACCTAGGACTACCCATGGAGGTGTGTCAAGCCAGAGCCCTGAGGAGAGCATGAAGGACCTTGGGCAGCCCAAAGGAAGCTGGCCAAGTCCATGACCTTAGCTCTCACTCAAGCCCAAAATGCTGCAAGCTGGGAGCACCATAGCCCTCAGGAGGGGACCAGAGTCTCTGGGAAACAACGGGCCATTTGGACATAGACCTTGGGTGTCAAGAAAAGGTGTGTATGCCTGTGGCACACACGAGAAAAACAAAAGGGGACACAGGCCCCTGGTGACTTGCCCATGAGATCTGGAGGGACAGAGAAGATACTTTAGAAAATGTTTATCCCAAGTGACCCCCCCCGCCCATTTTAAGATTTGGAGCACCTCGACTGGCGTGGTGGAGCATGCCTGTAATCCCAGCACCCGGGAGGCTGAGGCAGGAGGATCGCTGTGAGTTCGAGACCAGCCTGGACTACATAGTAAATTCCAGGTCAGTCTCAACTACATAGTGAGACACTGTCTCAAAAACAAAACAAAACAAAAACCAACAAACAAACAAAAGAGAAGATTTGGAGTACCTAAGTGTTTAACTTTCTGGATACCACACCCGGAGCCGCCTTCACTTCTGGAAGATGATGAAACAAAATGGCAGACACAGGACTGTGCCATTCTGTCCTACTCCTCCACACCCCTCTCCAGCCCACTCTTCCAGTTGGTTATCTGACAAATATTCACTGGCCTAATCTGCTGGGCACAGAGGGTCAACAAGACCAAACTAATTTCTTCTGAGACAGAAACAAGGTCAAGGTCAAGGGCCAAGAGCCATAAGGTTTGAAGGAAGCACTCTAGGAGAAAGGATTGGGAGAAGATGAAGGAATGAACTGAGGCCAGAGGGTGGAGGCTGCCGCGGTGAGTCTGGAGCTGCCACACAGCATACCCCAGCCACCCACATGGTAGCACAAATCACTCTCCCTTTTCTCCAGGATAGGGAACTGAGGCTGATCAGAGGAAACGGCAGAGCCAGTGCAAACCAGGTCTGCTTCCAGCCAGTGTTGGCCTGTGCAACTTCCCCAGATGGCCTTGGCCACCTGCCGGACTCTGCTGCGGATGCTGCCGTTGGCCCTCTCTGGGCCTTCTCTGTCCTTAGCCCCAGGACTTGGGTGCAACCGTCAGCTGTGGGCTCTGTCCCCACCCCCGCCACCCTGTCTGCTGGTTGCCTGAGGGTGCGTGAGTCCTGTTTGTCCACATAGGCACTGGCTTGGGCCAGTACGAGCCCTTCTTCCTGTGAGCAGCTTCTGGGCCCCAGGCTCTGATGCCCTCAGCCCTCTGCACACAGCCCCAGGGCCCCAGCTGGGGACCTGCATGTCCCCAACTGAGCTGCCTAGGGACTCTCCAGGGGCTCTTTCTAAAGGGGAAGCCAGAGGGGACATTTCGTTCCTTTGGAGCGCTTTAGCCTCCTTAGCCTACCCCACTCGGAGAGGGGTGGGGCTCTGGGAACAGCCTGGCCCCACCAGAGATGCCCGGGGCCCTGGTAGCTCTCCCTCCTCTGCCGAGCTAGCTCCGCAATGCCCTCCTGCTCCCTACCCTGAGCCCTGGTGTGGCCCAGCCCAGGATGGAAGAGTGGCGCTGGCCCAAACAGAGCCACACCAGGTCCTCCCCGAACTTCTCCTGGCTGCTGTGTCGTCATCGCTGTGGACCTGTGGTGACTCATGCTCAGGACACTGGGCAGGCAAGCCAGGCCAGGCCAGAGCTTCGGATGCGCTCGGGCTGTGTCCCCTCCCTGCAGCCAGAAGCACAGTGCCCCTCAGGCGATCGGCAGCCATGCCTCTGAGTCACCACCTTCCCTGTCAGGCAATCCCTGCAGA